ATTAATCCTTTGGGAAACTCCAGATTCCAAAAAAGGCAAAATTTACATAGTAAACATATCCCCAAAGTTTACTATGTCTTTTCACTGATTTACTGGCGGATTACGAATTAAACTGTAATTTTTATATTTAATGATGATTGCAGCTTGCAGATATATTGTCACTATTTTCTTCGTTATTCATACTATTTTCACCTATTTTATTTTTTTTTTTTTAGTAAATTGACATTGCTTACGTGCATTTTTAAATGCTAATGTTTGTTGTTTTGATGCATGGTGTACTATATATATATATATTTAATTCACTAGGAGTTAGCACTGTTATATATATTTAATTAATTAATTTATAGCCTTTATTTTGACCTTTTTAATAATAACTATTTATATAGGATAAATCGAAAAATTGCAAGATAATCATTATTTTTCAAAATTAAACTAGCAATTATGATGTTAGTTTAAAAGAAAACTGTACCGAAAGTTGTTATCACCCGCAGATAAATTCGAAATTTCCAATTAGTAATTAATCTTATCATGCTATATAATTTAATTTTTTTTAGTTTGAATACCCTACCAGGTAATGGTTTCAGACGGATTCAATCATTATTTTGCTCTTTGTTTTGATCTTTATTTTGATCTTCAAAGATGCTCTCAACATTATATTTCTTCAATGTTTTATAATCAGAAAGAACGCTCATCCCGCACATACTCTGTATGTGAAAAAAAAGTAGATTATTAAAAATGATATGCAAAGAGATCACTCGAGCTTTAATTAGCTATCATGCATCCATTGTTCTATTTAAGGGCATTAAAATTAGAATTATGAATGCACAATAACTAAATTACATCTGCAAACACTAATAATTAATGAGAAAAATTTAAAACCTTAAAAATTTCAACGATGATAACCAAATCCGGTTTAACAAGATTAACAATGTGATAATCGCCAACAATACTTGCAACCTGTTGAATCAATTCCATTCTGTCCACTTTATTATTATTTCGGATATTTGGAATTATAGCGTACTTAACATAGAATGAAAAAAAAAATTAAAAAAAATTAGAGTGCGTTAGCGTTACCTCTTCAAAAGCGAAAAATCATTTCTTAAAAAAAAAAATTAGTACTTTTATCTTTTGTTTCTGATCTTGCTCCTGTGCATAAAAGTGAGGATGCAATACTACTTCGGCTAATTTTTTAATGTCATTTATATTGGCGTAGCAAGTTTGTGTGATTGGGATAAGCCGTTTGCAAAACCTGTTAAAGAATATTAAATATGCATACAATTAAGCAACTTTTTCACATGTTCTAACTAATCTATGTCATTAATATAGAAAAGAGAAACTAAATTACCCACCTCGTTTTCTTTTGCTTAGTATTATTTAAATCAGTCAAGATATAGTGAACTAGTTGAACAGGATCTACGGGAGGATTGGTCTTGATAAAGACAACTAAATATTAGGATAAATAAATATGTGAATGAATACTTTCATCTCACCTATTCAATTAATGTTCATACCACAATCTGTCCCAGTTTGAATTGATGCAAATCTACGTGATGTATGCGGTCGTTTCATTTGTGAGAGTTCTTTAGCAATAGCGCTTTCAATATCATCGTCTATCGTTTTATTCGCTTCATCCTCATCTACAACATCAGTCCCATCGGCAGGTTTGTATATTAAATCTGCATACTAATTAAATA